ACGTAATTGTGGTCGTGCTGCCCCTTGCTGTAGAATAGCTGCGTACTGAATCATGGCACTGTAAATATGTACTGTTGGAAACGTATCCAATTGTGGGTGTATTTTATTGATGATGATTGATTCTTACGGCTTATACCCCATAACTACGTGGAAGGCCTACTGATTCGATCATTATCTCAACAGTAGGCCTTCCACGTAGTTCTGGGGTATAAGCCGTAAGAATCAATCATCATCAATAAAATACACCCACAATTGGATACGTTTCCAACAGTACATATTTACAGTGCCATGATTCAGTACGCAGCTATTCTACAGCAAGGGGCAGCACGACCACAATTACGTGGTAGCTTCATGCGCTTATTGTGATTGAGCAGCCTCAGGCCACCCCATTCCCTGACGGAGGCTTTTGTCAAATGCCCAAGTCTTTCGACAATAACAAAACCCCTTCGCCCGTATCGGAGCCGCTACACCCCCCCGGCCCCCCAATCCACTCCACAATCTCCAAACCCGCCCCTCCCACATGCTCCTCCATCTGTCATCTGCCCCTCCGACCTGCTCCTCCACCCCACACTCGCTCCCCCGATCCGCTCCTCCACCCCCTTCTGGCTTCCACGATCTGCTTCCTCATCCCCCCTGCAACGCCGACCGGCTCCTCTGTCCCCCTCCTGCCCCTCTGATCTGTTCCGGCCTCTGCTCTCTTGACTCCGGCACACCGACATGCAGAATTATTCCTCAGCTGACGCCGCCAACGCTCTGCAAATTCTTGCTGACGCTGCAGTGGAGCGTCAGAACGAGCTTGAGAAATTCTCAGTTCAGCCTGACGTCTCCGATTCAGATGAAGAAAGCGACTCTGACAGCCCGATCTTTGATCGGTTCTACGAGCGCGGCAGAGGGCGAGCAATTGTCAGCATGATCAATTTTGATCCAGAGGAGTTCACAATCATTTGGGCAAACTACAGAGATTTTATCACAACCCTCTACAATTGTGGTCGAGGGCGCAAGTCACCGCATTCGGCAAAGGACGTCTTGTTTATGACGCTCACTACCCTAAAACACAGCGGGCAGTGGGATTTGTTGGCAAATCTCTTTTCCCTGAAGGATCCCCACATCGGTGTGGAACACGTAGAGCGCCGACGGCAGTCCCAGGAGCGCTATCGTCGGAAGCGTGCGAGGCGCATGTCCCTGCAGTTGCACAGAGCTGGAATGCCAGATCGCGACCCCGATGCTGATATATGAGGCAATGACTACAGTGCCATTGAATACTTCTGTAATGAATCACTTCCAACCCGAAAAATAAATGGCTACAAATTGTGCTAATTAATTGCCAAATTCTCAGTCGCGCATTAGACCTTTAGTGCAGTTATCGCTCTGTATATTAGAGGACACGTCGATTGGTACAACAGTAGGGTAGCATACCAATCGACTCAGACGTTGCGCAGAAGATCGTCACATATGCGAAAGCGGCATCTTTGTGGTAAACACTGTGTTTTTGCATAAAGCAAATGTACAATTTATATGGACATTATCATTGGGTAAATACACAACCAAAGCCCCCTAAGATCGACTCTTTACAGAAACGACACAGTCATCATGCAAAGACCACGTATGCCGCTCTTGCCGCCAAAAGAGTTGCAACTCAAACACTCTACACTGTCAGGAACAAAACGGACTCTGTCCCTAACTACGAACTGTTCAGGCGCCCGCGAGCCTATATAAAGCGAGCAGGACGCCACTTCTTGTCACCGCACATCCTCACCCGCCCTCACTCATCCCACCAGCCCCCACGCACGCCCAACCGGCGCCCTTACACACCCAGACCCGCCTACACCCGCCCTGAACCGCCCTGACCCGCGCCCGCACTCGCACGTACCCGCCCTCATCCACCCTCACCCACACCCCACCCGTCCTCACCCGCCCTGATCCGCTCTCACCGGCCCTGATCCGCTCTCAACTGCCGTCAACCACCATAGAATACGTCACCCCCACGAAGGCTGGAAATGTTCTGAAGATACTCGCCGAGAAACGGGCGGAGCGTGAGGAAAATCTCGCTGTATTTCTCCCAGACAGTCAAGCCACTGACACTGACTCCGATGTCGAAGATTCAGACTCGCCAGTCATGGACGCCTTCATTGCGTCTGGGGGAGCCGGCGCTGTTCTTGAAATGACAAACTTTTCTCTTCTAGAGTTCAACGCAATCTGGAACATTCTCAAGAATGCAATCACTACGGACTGGAATTGCGGTCGGGGTCGAAAATGCCAGCATCAACCGAAAGACGTGTTCTTTATGATACTTTCCACGCTGAAGCACAGTGGAAATTGGGACTTTAATGGAAAGATGTTCGGCGTCAAAGGCCCAACATTTGAGCGCATGATTCTAGGGTTTGTCGAGAGGATCGTGGATGTACTGTATGATCTGGCGGTGATCAAGTATGAGAAGCGTTAGACCATGCAACGTCTTCTGCATGAGAAGAAGACCTTCAAGCACTACAAGTTTGCACTGTATGCTACGGATTTCACCTTCCAGGCATGCAACAGGCCATCCGGAAATCACGAAGAGAGCAAAACCTACTTCAGTAACAAGCACAAAATGTATGGGTACAAGTCCGAGGTATCGGTATTGCCAAACGACATCGCAATTGGAGCAACGCCACATCAGCCAGGCTCTGTTTCAGACTTAACAATCTTCAGGGACAACGTCCAGTGGCATGGTTCAGCACTGGCAAAAACCCGAGAGGAAATGGAAAACTTTCCAGATGTTGGTCCGTTGGCGGAGGAAGATGAGGGGCTTTGGGCTGTTTTGATGGACAAAGGTTATCAGGGCGCAGCAGATGTCATTAGGGCAATAAGTCCGAAGAAAAAGCCAAAGGGAGGAATGCTCACTTCGGAAGAGCAGCGGACAAACCGAAACATTAGTTCTGACCGCATTATTGTAGAGAACTACTTCGGGCGGCTCTATACGCTATGGGCTGTAATAGCCAATAGATGGAGGTGGGATGAGAAGCATTACGACCACGTTTTCAAATTGTGCGTTGCGTTGACAAATTTGCATGCCAAATGGCACCCATTGAGGGATGTCGACGGTCTACACGCCAAGCAGTACAAACGGCGACTGACTGAGATCGGCGTCAAAAAAGCTGAAAAGCGTAAAGCTTCGCAGAAGCTCTACCGCGCGAAACGTGCTGCACGCATGTCCTCGGCGCTGGGTGCGGATGGAAGAGGTGAAGAGATGGGCGCGGGGGCGATGCTGGACATACTTAACACTTAGTATGCTTCGAAGTACGCCACTGCTTACTGTGTCAGTGCTCAAACTCGTTGTTCTTTCTTTATGCTTGCTCTTTTGCGCAATTTGCTCCTGTTTGCGCAACGATTGCGTCAATTGCAAAAAATAAAGTCTTTCACCTACAAACGCCGTTCTCTGCACACTGCTTAGTGTTTTCACATTTACAAAGCTACTGAATTCGAGCTCTATTGTAAGCGTTAGTCCCATCTGATGCCAATCAAACAATATACACCTCACCCGTCATTGCGTAGTTTCCCAGTCTTTGCGAGAAAGACCTAGTATGCACGTATTTGTCGAAAAGGCCTACTGTATCCATTCTTCCTATTCCACGGAGGACACAATGCCATTTTTCACGAATCTCTGCGGGCCCTCCCACCACCTAATGCCATTTTTCACGATCTCTGCGCTCCTTCCCACCACTCCGTACACATAGTAACTTTATAAAATTATCTCTATGTGGTCGTCATGCGACAAACAACCACTCAACTCTGCATACCAGAACGTGCGCGCTGGCCGCAACGGTTTTCCCTTCTTCCGTTACATCCTTATCTTCCATACATCACAGAAATTGAATGTTTGTCCACCAGCCGTACTATGGCCATGAGCGGCACCAGATGGAAGGCAACTACCAACTATTGGCTGCGAAAGAATGCGAACCTACAAAAATATCTTCTTTGAGGCACTACCTCGATCTCCCCGCGTGCGCTGCACCTTTAAAGTCTTAGCATGTACCCTGATGTGCAATCATTCATCATAGAGATCCGAAACACCACAAACATCATCTAGTTTACAGTAGGTACGGCGCTGGGAGAGCTTTTTTCTGATTATTCATGAAGCAGTGAATACGAGTACCGAACTATGTCCCTGCGGACGTGGCCTTGAGAGCAACCTCACCCACACACACCACCAACTAGGGCGAATCTCGCAGTATAAAGCTAAAGCTCCTATTCTCTCACCTCTTATCCCATCCACTCTCACTGCCGACTACATCAGACTTCTCTTAATCGAAAGTGTCATGTTCAAGCTCATCGCAATTCTTGTGCTACTGATTTCCTTAGCTACCGCTGAAGACGGAGGTGGCTACAAGGATCTACTGGCCAAGGAATGGCCAGAAACTGAGAATTCTGGCAGACAGGCAGGCAGAGTTCCGTGTCGATGCCTCGCCGACAGGATCACAATCGGCTTCAGTACTTCTAATGAAGCGGCAGCAAGACTGTTTGCAGCGTCGTCCTGTGTATCTAGTTCCAGTTGCCCCTCGAACTTTCACTGCAGTAATTGCCCTACTCGGAATGTGTTGTGCGTTAAAATTACCGTCTACGGAGGGCGAATCTGGGTATGCAGAGCTGACTGCATCCAAGCTAAAAAGTCGTGCAGAAGAATTCCTAGGTAATTGAGCCCCTACCGATGATCAGCAACTTGAATGAATGATACCATGTCTTTCATCTTTAGGTTTCCTTTGGTTGTTTAATCAGGATGTCGTCCGTCGAGTAATAGACCGTGGTCGACTGATTGCTATGTTTGACGTAAATGTGAGATGTTGCATGCGTGTGGCTGTGACTTTGTCGACATGAAAGGGGCCGATCCTCTCTTCTTAAAGAAATGGATTTAGATGGCCTTTCACACCTCTATGATTCATTTCCAACTGGCCCCATGCAAAATGGACAAATCGCGTCTTATTGCTTGCACATGGTTAGTCACATGTCAGCATCAGGGGGGATTCTTATGTGTGCTACTGTATCCATTCTTCCTATTCCACGGAGGACACAATGCCATTTTTCACGAATCTCTGCGGGCCCTCCCACCACCTAATGCCATTTTTCACGATCTCTGCGCTCCTTCCCACCACTCCGTACACATAGTAACTTTATAAAATTATCTCTATGTGGTCGTCATGCGACAAACAACCACTCAACTCTGCATACCAGAACGTGCGCGCTGGCCGCAACGGTTTTCCCTTCTTCCGTTACATCCTTATCTTCCATACATCACAGAAATTGAATGTTTGTCCACCAGCCGTACTATGGCCATGAGCGGCACCAGATGGAAGGCAACTACCAACTATTGGCTGCGAAAGAATGCGAACCTACAAAAATATCTTCTTTGAGGCACTACCTCGATCTCCCCGCGTGCGCTGCACCTTTAAAGTCTTAGCATGTACCCTGATGTGCAATCATTCATCATAGAGATCCGAAACACCACAAACATCATCTAGTTTACAGTAGGTACGGCGCTGGGAGAGCTTTTTTCTGATTATTCATGTACTTAGCCCAGTATCAGAAGCATCCGATTAGTAGACGTCGAAAGGAGGTAACTCCTTTTCCTTTTCTGAAGGCGACGTTTGCGCATGATTTGTTTTAGACGAGGGATAATGCGATAGAGCAAGAATGGTATTCTTATTTGCAAATAGCTTTTCACAGTTTTCATTGGCACATTGACCTCTCCCCTTGAGGTAGTGCACTATACGGGTAGTGGACGGACTGCGCGACGATGGCCAAAATCCTCTCAACGGCATGTCCCCTTGCCACATTAAGCGCATACTGAAAAACAAACTTTTGATCTCATCTACTCCATACTGACTTGCTCTTTGTCGCGACTTCAACCACTGCACTCTCGCCCTTATCCTTCGCGTCCCAATTTGATTCTAATCGACATCGACATACGCTTCTTGATCGAAGGAGGGAACACCACTTCAACTATTCACAAAGGGCATGTTTACTTTAGGAGTGTAAATCCGGAACTCACTACCAAGTTACTTCTGGGGAACAGAGCACTGTGATGTTCTGGAAGTTTAAGTCAGCCACCACGCTGGTGGCTGGGAACTGCGGGTGTTTCCATCAATGCAACTTTTGCGGATAACCCTATTGCCGGAAGGGTTGTGCCTAGTGTCTAGACGACCGGCAATTTGCCTCATATGAGGTCAGGCTTGGCCTCATATGAGGCCGGGTTTTTTTTTGCAAAAATGTATACATTAAATCGAAATTTTATAAAATCAGTTTAGACACCATTTCTTTAACCAATATTCCCTCGGTAATAGCTTCCTGCAAAACATCGGGATAGCAGTTATGAATACACAGAAATACTAAGAATCTAATATAGTTTCAACAATCGGATGATATTTTAAACAGGCGTTTTGGTTTCGAAGATATCAACAAAAAACGTTTTGATGTTCTTTAAAAAAGCTTCTTCTTTAGGTATTCTCAAAAAGCCTGGAAAGGACGTGCAGATCTCACCAAGCTCCACCCTTCCAAAGCGCAGAAGTCAACTGCGGTGGCGAGAGTATCTTTTTCCTTTTTGTTCAGCTCGCACAAGTCGAGAAAAATTAAGTTGAAAAGTGACCTCATATGAGGTCAAATGGCCTCATATGAGGCCATTTGTCACCTAGACACTAGGTAAGTGTCCAATATTTGAAGCACAAGCATTAACGTTGCTTATAGTGTAAATTGTATCTTATATTCAGGGTTGAGAAAGGGGTATCTGACTCGCTCAAGAATAACCATTTAGCATAAAGCATGCCGACGGGGGTGTAAATGCCAATAAAATCAGTAGCACCTTCCCCCCTGGACCAGACTGGAAGCTCCCCACCTTGGGTAGCTCCCATGTATCTACGTCGCTACCTCGGATGCCTTTGCAATAAAAAATATCTCAACCGATGGAAATCCGACAAAGAAGCAGTTGTTCCCTAGATGGCAGAGACCAATTTCAAGCGAATACGAGATGCATGTGCTTGCTCCTCCCTTTTTCCATATCATAACGAACTCCCTTGTCGTGTCCCGTCTGTATGTGTTGTTCGTTTTACTCAGCAGGATGTTTTCCATCAGGTAAATAGACTCTGACGCTAAGTTTCCACAGGTTTGGTTGCAGTAAATGTTCGCTCTATTTTGTGCGTGATTGTGAAATGTGTCCGGAAGCAAAGATTTTTTGTTCTCCTAGAAAACCAGTGCCTGTAGAGGCCTTGCTCATCAAAAAGTATCTTTGCTTTATTTACAACTAGCCGCTGTTGGAATGTAAAATAGAGATATGCTTGCTTTGATGGTGGCGATGGTAGTCGTCAGTTCATCATCAGAGAACGAAACTTGAGGGGCTCGCTAGTCGGCAACTATGGATGTAGAACGTCCTTGTTTACCTGTCACATGCCCTCTCCGTGAATCAGGAAACTCTGTGCTCTCCTTCACTGGACGTCGGTGTCGTCTATCCCTACTTATACTGTACAGGCTGGAGACAGTCTGTCAGTATGAGTGCGGCCTGACACTCTGAACTTCAGAGTGTTGACACTTCAAGTTTTGTGAGAGCCCCCACTGTAAGACGCCATGATTCTGTCTTGTCTTCATTACAGCACGTCGCCGTTTGTCTTCATAATGTTGTTAAAAGTTTTAACAACAGTATGGAGACAAACGGCGCTGATCCAAAGCTACATTGGTTTTAAGTTAAAACCAATGTAGCTTTGGATCAGTGAGCGAAGATCGCAATTTGGGTTTGGACTCCAAACCCAAATTGCGAGCGCTACGAGGCGAAGGGGTGCTGATAGCGGACAGTGGCAAAGGACGCGTTTCAGAATAGGAGCTCAGCTACCGAAGACAGAAAGAGCAGGACAGCGGCATAAGTAATACGAGGAAATGAATTGCAGACAGGGAAATGCGTGGGAGAAAAAGCGGGGATGGTTCACAAGCCATGCGCGGCGGAATGCGAAGGTGGCAAAATGCGGCATTGGACACACGACGACTACGGACGCAATTCGTAGTAAGTTTTAGCCCGTTTCCAACGGACGCGAGGGCAGGCGGCAGCATAACACTTAAGCGGCAGTAGAGCATAGCCATGAAAGATAGACAGGCACAAGCCCAGCTTCTTTGCTGGCCTATTCGCCTTCCTCTTTATCGCCACAACCATCCCTGAACCTCTTTCCTCAGAACTATCATACCCACTCTGTAGCCGTAGACGTCCAGCAGCCGATCCCTTGCCCAATCATGACTAACCCTTTTTCAACTGTACAGTAGCTCCCCCCAGAAGCTTAATTTCTACGCTTAATTTCTACGCTACATCTTGCACGATTTTGCGGAACCCTCTTACATTGCAAAATGTATTACAGTGCAGGGGGGGTCGCGCAATAGTGCCACTTTGAGTAGTGCTTCCCACGCATTAGTGCTATGCAAAACGCCTTGGCACGGTTATCATACTTCCTACACGTGTTCATACACGTGTGCCCGCTGCACATGTCGCACAGCCCGTAGCCCCGCATCACGCACAGCGGGCACGGGATCTGCTGCTTGACTTTGGCAGAGAACATCTGGGCGGGGCGCCGCAGGGAGGGAGGGGTAGAGCGAGTGCAAGGGAGAGAGCGGACAGGGGGGGAGGCAGGGACGTTCGCAGCTGTCGCCTATTGAGAGGTACAGTAGAATTCCGCTTCAAAGCCTGGCATCTCTGATCGCTCGCTTCAAACAGGACATGTCCTGTTTGATGCGAGCGATCAGACACAACTGTATGTAAATGATTGTGTTTTGGCGCTTTCAGTATAGTGCCATTCACGCAATAGTGCCATATGTCGAGGTCTGTTCCGGTATAGCACTATTGCGTGGGACCCCCTGTCCATGGAAAGAAGATTACTGCTCCGTTGCTCATGCCATTACAATACCGTTGTACGTTACGGCACCGTTACGGTATACAACTTGTATTGTATCGAGGGTTGACTGCCCAATGCAGCGTCCTATTCTACTACACGTGTACAGGGGGGGACGCACAATAGTGCCGCTTTTGTTACTGCCACACAATGATTAGTGCCGCCCAAGATTGGCAGACACGTGTCGTGCCACGTGTCACTGACGACGTCGTCACCTCCCTCTCTGGCAGGGTTGTGCGGATCTTTGGAGAGTCTGGGTGTGGAGTACGATGTGAGCAATGCTTTATCACATTTGAGGTCTGCGAAACGAGCCTTTTTGGAAGCTAGAGGCATGAGAGCGAGGGTCGGAAACAACAACAGACTTTAATTACAGAGTTTTGGACTGGCAATGGTTCACACAACTGATCACTGCCGCTCCAGATTAGCGCTGTTTTTTTGAGTATTCACACAGGGCGGCACTAATGCGTAGGGTCCACTGTACAAAAAAAATCTACCTTCGCCACACAATGCAACGTATCTGTAAGCACTAAACGCCAGTAACCACGCTTCTCTGCTCTGAAAACCGCGACGCAATCCGCGTATCTGTCGACATGTACACAACCTGGAGCACTCGCCATGATATATGCACAGGTACGATAGAAAAGGACCGCCACACGACATGCATGCATTTTTTATACTACTGGCGTTTCTTCTTTTTCCGATCGCATGTAGCTGTTTCGGTTGAATTTTGCTGCTTGTAAGTCTCGTTTTCGTGCAGCAGACTATTTCTACCAGAGGAAATTTATGAGGGAGAATCGGGATCAGCTATCTTTCGCGATAGTTTTCAGGTCGATAGCATAACGAAGAGGTATGCCTTAACGACGGCAAGAAAACCGGTCTTGTAAGTACACACTGAGTTGTGGGGGATCAGAGAGTTGTCATGTAGACAAAAGGTTTGACCCACACCTGGTATCCAGGCCCGCCTTTAGATTCATGCTTCAGAAGTACCGGTGTTTTTTTGGGGGGTTTGCTGCGGAGTTTTCGTATAGAAAGAATGGTTAGAAGGGGCCCTCAACCGATTTCCCCGCGCCAAGTACCTTCTGGATATAGATACTCCACTTGAGGGTGTTTTGTGCTGCGGAGGAAATTTTTTATGCATATTAGTTTCAATGCTCCAGCGTTCCTCATTGTTCGTTGCTTGATCCTTAACTGTTACATGAAATGGAACTTGGAGTGAAGACTGGAGAATGGGATGAATGAAATTACTTTTTGAAGAACATTATAGAGGTCTGAGCAACAACCAAAGTGTAGTTACACAAGCGTAGTTCGTAACCCGTCAAACGGACGGGACAGAAACAAGAGTAACACTCTCGTCGGGGGGGGGGGGGGGAGGGGTGGCAGCGCAGGGTGGCAGCGCAAACGGCGCTGACGTATTCGGAGTGTTGGACTTGAAGTAAAGCTTGTGGGGTTTATGTTGGTAAGTTAAAGATGTCCCCTCTTCACTAAACGTAGGGGAATGGCATCCTACTTATACTATCTTCGAAAGGGAACTACGGAGTAACAAAAGGTTGCACGATAAACAACAACTGGGAACGAGAGTAAAACCACTCTCCTCGGTGGTTGCATGCGGTGAACAAGAATCATAGACGTAATAATGTCGCCTGTCACCTCTCTTTCTCTATTTCTTGGCGAACATGCCGCATTGTATTCACACAAAGAGCACCTTCAACGATCAGATTCCAAAAATTGCCGTGTACAATATCTGGCTAGATTTCAAGCACTGTCCTCCCCCCTATGAACGTCTATACTTTATTCTTGGTACAGGTCATGTTATGCGTTTGCAGACCCTGCCGCATAGACAGGATTCGATACGAGTGCTACCTAGAAAAGATGAATTTCGTTCCAGAGCAATATACTGTACCTGCGGCAGGTCATACACGTCCTCCCCTCCGTCTTGGAGCGTTGCTCGGTCTAGGTCTATTACTTCCCAGTTCTCTCTTCAGCTTCCTGGTAGCCCTGTCAATTCTGTCGTTCAACTTCATTAGCGCATTCGAGCTCGTCACCACATTGGCCTTGGCCACATCTCTCTTTCTCTTTGCCAGTGCCACGGCCTCTTCACCATCAAAATCGCTTGTGCAAACTGTACTGAGAAACTCCAAATCCTCACTGACGAGCTCACAGACTTCCCGGTTGAGCCTTTCAAACCTCTTCTTCGGGCACTGGCGAATAAACCTCTTCACATTCCGGTCGCATAGCACGCTGACGCGTAGCCACCTGCGTGCAAATTCGAGGTTGTCCACACGTCTCCGCAATTCTGCTTGCGCCTTCCGTAGTTCCCTCCGGAATTCGGGGAGCCGCTCCGTTAAACCGGTGATTGTGCGCTGCAGATCGCGGATGCGACGACGACGTCCGGGGGCGGTTTGACGCAGGCGCACGGTGATGGAGGATTCCACTAGCGCATCGGCGGATTGTCGGGAGAGCTCGTCCGCGAGACGCAACGCTGATGCGACCTCGGGTGGTGCGCTTGCGGCTTCGTGGACTGATGCTCGCGATGTGGTTGCAAGGACGATGAGGGAGAGGAGGGCAAAGACCACCATCGAAGGGAGGGGGATACCCATCTTGGGAAAGAGGGCGTTGATTGTGCGGTGATGGTGATCAAGGGGTATCGGTGTTAACAGTCACGTCTGCTGACAGCGTGTGAGGGCGCAGCGAAGAACGAAGTCGTTTAAATACCGAAGTTCAGCGTGAGCACAAAATGGTTGTCTGGAAGGAATTGAATAAGTGAGTGCCGCCCTGGAACAGCCAAGAAAGCTCACGCTACGCATCTGTAAAGCAAGAAAGGCGCGCAGGGCATCGATGGGCGAAGGTTGCTTAGGCAGACAAGTGTGTGCGTATAGGTTTATTCTGTTGAAGCGTGAGATGTGATAAGTACAGTGCTCTGTGTGAAAGTGCGGTCACGCGAATATTGATGTAGTGACGATTAATAGCAGTGTGTTGGACGAGGCCGTGCGTAAAGTTATCATGGAATGGGGACAGACAACGGAGAGTTACGGATGAAAGCGGAGTGTAATGAAGTGGAGCAAGTACGCGGTGTGGCTACGTCACGAGTGCAACAGTGGGAGAATGAAGAGGTCTTACTGTACAAGACGTGACTTTCCGGATGCTTGTAAACAAAGTTTCTATTTCGGCTGGGGCGAGGGAGCGGGCGGGGTGACATGCTGACAGAGGAAAGGGAGCGCGGTGGGTGGTATCTGTTGGACTCGTAGACCATTGACGAATGATCAAGGATAAGCATGCGACGGACTGTTTTGACGACGAGGCAAGGAGTTGTCCGCAGGACCAGAAAAACAAACTGTAGAAACGCGCTTGGCATCCACAAGACGCTTGCATCCCTCGTGGACATGTATAGAATAGATGGCATTGTGAGAGTGGACGCCTCTTTCCTTGGAGGATAGGCCAACAACGGTAAGGTCTGGATGTTCCAAGGGAAGCGAAGGGTCGAGAACGAGGCGTAGATTCTGCGTTTCTTGCTGCGGCTGTGTTCGCACTGAGATGCTCTGTTGAAGCAAGAACGAAATGTACCGGTAGAGGTGGCTGCCATGAAGTCGAAACAGTCCGAAGAGGCTGAGAGTGGTGACAGGGGCTGGGACGGGGAGGCGCGAACATGCAGGGCGGTCCTTTGCGCATGCGTCGCAATGCTGATTTTATTCAAAACAGTTTGTCACACTCCCACGTGTGCGATGTGATATGCTCGGGCTGAATGTGGCCCTTTCTCTTTTATACATACAACAAACGCTGCATCGTTCTTGACGCAAGAAAATAGAGGGAGGGAGGGTTGAAAATAATCTCTAGTTTTGGTACTCTCACGCGATATCCCGTTATCCCTTATAGATAGAGAGTAGGTACAGTATACCGTAAAAGGGGTGAGGCAACAGACCGCAAGTGCAGTAGGGTGGAAGACGTTGGCGGAGATACGAAAAAGCCATCCTTTGTGACATCGAGAAGTGTTACTTGCCCACAGTCAGTTGCGGAAAGCATCTGCAATCCAGTCTCAGTCCACAGGCGCGTTCTTTACCTTACGCGGACTAAAGAAAGCAATACATGTACAGCACAGGAATTGCAGCACAGTACCATTACGGATAAAGCTTCCAGGCGGTTGGTCGCGATCATTCTCGTTTGGCGCCTCACAAGGCACATGCAACCTGTGCATGCAGATAATGTTAAAGACTATCGTAAAGGATATCTCGTACTGCGTTATGTTCGACTTCACGTCACCATATCCTCTGCTCCTACAGTATTTGTACCGCTAGGTAGTCTACTGTATTGCCTGTCCGAGTCTACCCCGCGTACTATCTGCAAATGTCACCTATAGAATTCTGAATTTGGCGCGACTGTCATGAATGAACGTACAGCAGATCCGGCGCTCCCGCGACTGCCATGTTGATAGCGTGGGAGAAGAAGAAGCAATTGACACCTTGACGTCAAATAGTTACACTACGAAGGGCACAGTACGCGGGGACGTTGTCGATTACAGTACAGGCCAACCCAACAGCCTCCTGTGCGCATCTCACGAAACCACGCGTCCACTGCAGTCGCAACCCTTTGCATCCGCAGGAGAACCGCCGCGCTTCTTCCAACCGCGACCATCTAAGCGCGTTTGAGCAATGCAGTATCCCGTTTCGCACGCGGCAAGTCCGGTACCTAGCCCTCTCGCGCTACCCACAAGGACAAATCCGGCAACGGCAATCCCTTCCACCCGCGCTTACCGTCGTGCGCAACAGACACATCGAATGGCGCGGCGCCAACTACGCCTTCTTCGCGTTCCATTTTTACCTGCCCCCCCCCCCCCCCCCCCCCCCCCCTGACACTGTCGTCATGGGGTGGGGTGCCGTGCTGCTGTACGACGGCGTCTGCGGGATTGCCAAACATATGCAACAGTGACAACTGCCATCTCACGAAGGTGAGCCCGTCTTTTGGAAGGTCGGCAAGGCTTGGGTGACGACGTCACGGCGGTTGAAAGATATTTCGCCCGCTGTCTGACGAGACTACAGTGCGCGAAGTTAGAATAAATACAGTCCTCAATACGACGTGAACATGTGCTTTTATTGTAACACGTGCCGCACCGGCATGTGTCCGGCATGAACGTACAGCTTACTGTCAAGACGACTTTTCGGTGCCGGCGTCAAACAAAGCAAAGGTGTCGATCAAATAAGGCCTTGGGTTGGTGCGCGGTCTCCTCGTCACCGGACGAGGGGAGTTGCTCACGAGAGCAGCGCGATGACGAAGTTGCGGCAATGGCACAAACAACTTTTTATTCTTGGGTTTTCTCTTTTTCTCTCTCTTTCTGGCGACATCTACCTCCTTTCTATAAAGATCTAGCAGCGCTGTCAGTAGTGTCTGTTTGTAGTGAAAAACAGTATCAGGCTCTTGACCTTTCGCAAGTCTTCTTCTAACTCCATAGGACATCTTTTTCTCTTCCCCAAATCCCTACTGTCTCGCTTCATTCTAAAGAGGAATTTCATAATTGTAGTGCAGCCCTGAAGGATCGCAGGATCAGAAACGGATCAACGATCTGGTTCTTGATGGAATTAATTCAACTTGTCGTAGCTTCATCGACAAAAGGGAAGCATTTCTGCCAACTTTTCATGAAGACGGCCTGCATACACCACCGTACAATAACTTTCGGGTGGCATTATGAGCTCGAGAGTGCTTGGAAAGTAAAAGACAGCAATAAAGGCTGCCAAGGCTGAACAACTACTCTGCAGAGGACGCATGCCGCGAGCGCGCCGAGACGCGGCGAGGCCATATCTTCACACACGACTCGTCTACGTTAGATCGCCCACGCACTCCGCGCAAGAGCGTGTACGCACCTCCTCCATACGCCACCGAGCACTGTCCCACGCGCCCACGCGCCCTACTTCTCATCGCACGCGCCGCGGCTGCGCGGGCAGGACGCTTCATTTCCGCAGAGAAAGGTGGACCGCTTCGCGCCTCCCCCGTGGATGACGCAGAGGCCGGCGCCGTGGGATCTGGTGTCGTGACCATGCGCGGGGCGCGGCTCGCAGGGTGGAACGGGCGGCGGACGCAGTTCGTGCGGGTTTGGTGTAATGAAAGAATGGGAAGGTTGTTTCTCTTGGTGGGGCAGAGAAGTAGCAGTGGGACGGACAGAGAAGTACCAGCGCCTCGTTCGTTGTGTCATCTACCGCGTTGAGTGTGCGCTGGGCCGAGGGCGTGGCGGGGCGTGCTCGCGGCGAGGCTCCTGCCGCTTCGCGTGCGTGCGCTTGGAGGAGGAGGAGGAGGACGGGCTTCTGTGGCGGCGTGGACAGCCTGGAGGAGCACGGATGCAGTTCACCTCGCAGTGTATCGCTGGGAGAGGCGCGCCACATTCCCGCAGCGCGCACACGTCACCGGTGCGCACGGGGGGGGGCGGAAACCGCACGGGCACGTCCGGACGGGGGTGGCGATGGCCCGTTGCGGGATGCCGGAGGTGTAGGGCGAGGTTGATCGCTCTTTACGTTGGCCTCTCTACGTCGGCGTCTACGTTTTGAAGGCGCATTTTTTACAGCGTAGATGTTTTGGTGGGGTGCATGCGTGCCTTGCGAAATTGCGAGCAAAAGCAGGGCGGTTTGTTGTTCCTCTTTCGAACAGCTTGTTCGATCTTCTCCGAATTGCAGCACGATGGTTGGTGGCTGTGTGCGGCATGCTTTGTGCGACATGCGTTGTGCGACATGCGTTGTGCGACATGCGTTGTGCGACATGCTTTGTGAACATGTTGACGTGCGGGATTATGCAGGTGAAAGAGGTCCGGTAATGTTTCTCATGTTTCTCTCTCAGTCAGCCACCTTCCTTCCCCGCCTAGTAAGGATTACAGTTCTGATCCGATCGACAACTCTCAGGGCCGTTCCTAAGAGCAACCCCACCGCGTCGATTCTATTGCCAGATAGAAATGAAACGTGTACGCTGACTATTCGCCGGCTGCACGAATAGATTTTTGTGGCGAATCGTCAATCTATTCGTGTGGATTCTATTCGCGTCAAAAACCCCCAACGCATATTTGCAACTCTATCGCTGAATGCTCGTGCGGACAGCGGCGAGACGTCACACATCGTCTGCGAAGAGGCGAAGGAGGCACATTTGGCTGGAACTCGGCTCACACGCTTATCTATTCATCGGATAGAACGTTTTTGGAATCTATCGGCGCTCGGATAGATTCCGAAATGGTTCTACTGTATTCGATTTCGGAAAGCGATAGAATTGCGCGGTGGGGTTGAAAATCGTGAGCAGAAATTCTATTGATCAAATAGATGGTGCGGGGTGGGGTTGCTCTAAGGTACTTTGAGTCCTCGGTTATCAGGGGTGTCTTATCAAGGCCTTATGGGCACCCAAATCAGGATGAAGAACCCGCTTGTTAGCCTGCACAGGTTAGAAGAAGGGAGAGAAGATCCTGCTAATTCACGACACGGTGCCACTCGATGTCGAACTCACTGTCACCAAAGCTAGGAAGGGGTACGGCACCATGGCGGGGACACTGTTCGCTTTCACCAACGTCCCCATAAGATACTCCAGATCGAAGATTACACACGTCGTCCCAACTGCGCACGAAGACATCGCAGAAGAGATGAGACACCTTATAAGTACTGCGAGCACCACTAGAGGAATATTCAGGTTGGAACTGCACGGGGGCTTGGACAGTTGCAAAGACATGGGATCGGCACATTCACGTCTCGACGACGTGCTGCATGGACACCGATTGGATGTCTTTAATACCAAGCATAGTAGGTAGGACCGCCGATTACATATGGATTGGGCAGTGAAGAGGCTAATTTCCCGTTGTGCCCGAACTGCTTAGAGTATGGGCTGGATAATACCATGTCCAGCATATGTGCGGCTGCTACTTATCGAATCCACAGAGGGAGGGAGCGAACTTGGAGAGGTCCAACTCTCGGGATGAAAGAGTCCGACTCCGGACGCTGCATCCTAGTTTGCGATAGTATCCAGGATGCGTTCCGAACCGTGCTGGCGGCACTTAAAGCTGCTAGGGGGCGGCGGGATGTGCTCGTAGGAACAATATATGACGGTCCTGAAAGGGACGCAATTGCTGAAGAAAAGGGACGACAACAGTATGGCGAAATGAAGGCTGGTCCTCAATATCTCTTCGCCACTACGACCGACTCAAGGTGAACGTGTTAACCCTCTGCCCTCCCAGTCTTCTCCGTGACAGTGTGTAGCATCGGCCCCTGGGCCCAACGCGGACGGGATCTCTCAACAAAAGAAGTCCTGCGCCCTCCGGCGATCTGTGGTGAAATGGATTGCTTTCGAATCGAATCGAGGAAGCTCCTCGCGACGCGGCGAGCTTCCGGTCCTACAGTCCTTCGCCCGCGAAGCAAGCTGTTCCCCTGCAGCGACAAAAATGAACGCGATGCGCGGGGGCATTGATATCGGGTGTGAAGGCGACGAATTGAGAGACGCGAGCAAAAAGACTTTACTAAACACTGGCCAAAAGCGCGCGCGGCATCACTGTACGCACTGGTCCGGCGGCGGCATGGATCTCTCTGCGAGCTGCACAAGGCGCAAACCCAAACAGTCAGTACGGTTCCGCGCTCGCTGCCGCGCGAGAAAGAAGGCCCCGGGCAACCTACCTCTGGCGGGGGCGGGACGTTGCGCTGGTACGAGCTACTGCCCGGCTGGTAGATGGGGATGTACGGCTCGGGGTGTCTGTGTCTCATGAGCTCCTGCATGCCCTTGTCGACGAGGAAGCGGCCCTCGGTGAGGCTCTTGGCCGCGTTGGCGCGGAAGCGGGCCTGGATCTTGGCGGCGTCCGCGGTCCACAGCTCGTAGTCGATCGCCCAGTCGCGGCTGGTGCGCAGCGACGCGCGGTAGAGGCGCGTGACCTTGTGCGCGTGCGAGAGACCCGCTTCCCACGCGCCCGCGCGCGCGGCGGGCATCGAGGCGGTCGCGCCCATCGACGGGGGAGCGGCGGTATGGCGTGGCGAAACGTGGGGGGGGAAGGCGGACGCGGGGGGAGTGGGATGGATCGGCGTTGGGCAAGGCGAGCTGGCCGGGAGGGTCAAGTTGGGTGTGTGGTCTGGCAAGTTACGGGTTTGTGGGGATAGGTGTACCAGTGTCCACGGAAACAGGTGTACGACGTGTCTTCGTGTGCATGTGTACACGTGTTCAACGTTTAAATTCAACGTCCACGGAGCCGTCCGCCAGGTCTACGCGCCTGGGCGACTATGAGGGTAGCCTGTTACACGTGGCAATGTCAGGAGCCACGGGGAAAGTGCTTTCGCTCCTCAAATAACTAAAAAAAACGATAACCGAATTCTTGTCACATCTCAGACATGAGACCTGCAAAATGCGCGAGCACCCAATTTGACCGCGCACCTTAAACGGCTTCTTCATCATCTTCCCACATCATCTTCCCACATCATCTTCCCACATCATCACCCCACACAGTCATCATTCCTCCATCTGCGCCTTTCTGACCTCCCTACGCCCCTCCGCCCCTCCGCCCCCTCCCCGTCCCCCTTCTCTCACTCCCAGACATGGTCTTCCGCTGGCTCTTCGGCGGCAGCTCCAACTCGCCGTCCTCGGACCCCCCCGCGCCTCCCTCCAACTCATCCGACGATTTCTCCCCGCCGGACGAGGCCGGGGCCTCTGCCGCGCCACTGGGCCCTGGCGACTCCACGCCGGCGGTGGCGCCTTTCCCCACGCGCGTGCCGCTGACGGCCATCCCCTCCTTCATCGTGGACGACCGCCCGGAGCTGCGCCTGACCGCGTACGACCTCGCACGCGGCCAGTACGCCGCCAACGTCCTGGCCCTCGTCCACAACGCCGTGCGCCTCGAAATGGCCGACATGTGGGGCGACATCCTGCCCAGCTTGGAGAGCCGCGCCGCTGGCGGCCTCACCGACGAGGACGGCGCAGACGTCATGATGTGGTGGAACGGCTTTGCGCGCTTCGCCTTGACTGCCAGCTTGGTCGATGACATGGTCAATCAGAAGGCCTTCGATGACGTCTACGTGGGCTTCGATAAGGAGACCAAAGAGATTAACAAGATGTTTCTCAAGGTGCGCGAGAAGAACAACGTCCACTTGGAGATGGCCGTGCGCAAGATGGCCAAGGCCGTGCGCACCTTTGAGGACGAGGCGGGCCCGGACACGTTCGCGGCGTTGGAGATCGGGTGGCGCACGCTGGCGGCGATGCTGGCCGACATTCACGGTGAGAGCGAGGCGTTGGTGAGAACGATCGATCGCTGGGTCAGGAACCCCTTCGAGTACAAGGACCTGGAGAAGCAGGCTGCTAGGATCTTCACCACCAAGAAGAGATGGGGCAACGATGATGATAAGAGGGGTGAGATGATCGTCATTCTGTGTCGCTGGGTCGGCACGGAGGAGCTCATGCGCGAGTGGATGTTTAGGAATTTGACAAAGAAGGAGCTTAAGGGTATCGATCGCTGGATGGATGACTATAGGGACCGTAGACTTGCCATAATTGACCGCTTTCATCAGAAAAAGGTTTAGGAGACCCCGTATTAAAGTAGAAACGGGTAGAGGGCCCCCACATTTTTTCGTAGACCATTCTCTTGTCCGTTGCTTGCGCCAAACGACATGCGGGCGCAAGAAGTCCACGAAAACATCACGCGGCGAGAGGGTCGGAAGGCTTATAATGTACAAGAGCGAGGATCATCCCGACAAAAGCGTACAGAACTAGAAGGCTGCGGCAGAGGGACGACAGTCGCGCCCCTCCGCGGTCGTAGAAACCGAAAACCAATCACGACTCCTTGTCTCGCTCCGCCTCGCCCGTTTGAAACACAGCCGCCGTTCCGGAAAAGTGCGACATCAGCGAGTCCCCCGGCTCCGCGGCCGCCCGCCGCTTGCCCGGCGCCATGCCAACAGCTGCCACCGCCGCCGCTCCGTTTCCCGTTGCTTTCGTCTTGCGGATCTTCGCGCTTGCCCGCACGCCGGGAGGACGCCCGCGTTTCGTACGCGGTTTCGCCTTTTCCTTCGCGCCACCGCCCCCCGCCTTTTTCGCCGCCACCGGTTGAAACCCGGCCGTGCTCGCCGGGTTGTGCTTGGTCAAATTCTTCGCCTCGTGCCTGCAGTAGTCCATGATGATCGACGGGATTTTCATCCCCAACACCTTGCCATCTCGCATAATCCTCTTCACCAAACATTGATTGGCAAGCTCATCGATCGCGGCAAGCACTTCCCCTTCATTGGACACCCCCCAGAGTTTCTGGAGCTTCTCCTTTGAGACTCCAGTATCGCTCGGCAAGGTCACCAACGCGGCCAGCGCATTCTGCACGGGCAGAATCAACGGCCACTTCGCAATTGCATCTACGCACGCCGCAACATTGGAGAACAAGCGCGAGATCTGTCCAAACTGCTCAAAGCTCTTGGTCAGATACTCACTATAATGTGCCCAAATGCTTTCTCGGTTCCCGTCCTGCACTAGCAGTCTCTTCACCGCGCCCCCCGCCACCGCCACTGCTAGTGGCAGTCCCGCGCACCGGCGCAACACGACTTTGGCGGGCGCCTCCCCCACGGCAGGCACTGCGCAGTGTGCGTCCAGCTCCGCGCGGGGCAGACCCAGATGAGCACACAGCATGTCACGCGCCGTGGATCCCAACGGGTCCAGCAAGTCGATGTGCACGAGAGAGTTGCCTCCAATCTTCCGCGCGACTAGCACGGACCGCGCGCTTGCCAATATCGCTAACCTGGACGTCTTAGCCTTTGGCGGGAGCGAGGCGGATGCCATCGCTACGTGCGTGAGGCGCTGGAGCAGCTGCAGTATTATGCCGGGCGAGCTGCTCACGTTGTCGAGGATGAGAAGGACACGGCGGTGACGGAGGGCGTTTGCGACGGCGTCGATTGCGCCGATGTGTGAATTACTGCTTGCCAGCTGCTGCTCGATGTCCTTCTTTGGAGCCTCGCCCGCGATACGGCCGACCAGCTCGCATAGATCCGCAAGCAGAGACGCGGGGGTGGTCGATGGGGCTAGGCCGAGGAGGGCGATGCCGTCACGGAAGTGCGCGTGCACCGCGGCGTAATGGGCAACGGACCGCAGGGCGACGGTCTTTCCGGAACCGGGCAGGCCGACTAAACAAACGAGGCGGCGATCGTTCTCGAAGAGCAACGAGACGACATGCTGCTCGGGCGACGTGGAGCCGGGCTGGAAGGAGACGAGGTAGTGCGCGGGGTTTGGACGCACAGAGAAGACGGGCGGGCGTGGCTGGGGGTTCTGCGCGGGCGAGGGGCGCACTCGCTTCTTCTTCATGCGCGAGAAGGGCTTCCCGGGGGATTCTGAGGGAGGACATGGATCGCCGGTTTCCATGCCTGAGAGGAGAAGGGGCGGAGGAGAAGGTAAAGGTAGGTTGTCGAAGTCCTGTTGGGGCGAGGTGGGCGGGATACAGTATTCAGTTTTTGGGCCTTGTTTCCACTGCAGTTTTTCAGTTCTTCCCCACAGAGTTTGGGTGCCACGACATCTGGACCCTACCCGTTGCCCTTCCGGTTCCTGTTGTGCCCACCACGTACGCCACATGGGAGACCATCTGGCAGGTGCCCTCGCCACGGATGTGTGTGGGGAGCACACCGCGCGTGTCGCGTCGCGCAGACCGACGCTCGAAATTCCCCGCAACCGACGACTACATCGTCGGTGCTGTTCAGAATGTCCTATCTCGCGACAAGAGCAAAGCTAAGTCTTTTCCGCCTGGAGCGGTTCCAGCCTTCGGGCATCCCGTGCCGACTCCATGGCATACGGCCTCTCCAGTTCACAACGCATGATATCAACGATTACGGCCAAGTCCGATGTCTAGATTGAGGCTACGCGAGGGAGGTAAAGTTGGTTCGCAGACACACCTTCATGTTGAAAATCATTGCAAGCATAGATCCCCGTGTATGACTTCCGCCTACGTTCTGTGCTTAACAGAATGATGCGATTCCAGACAGCGCAACATCTCTCACTCCTTCGCTCCTACCGTTGCGATCTAAGTTCTTGGTGAGAATAGCCAGCCTGCTAAGTCAAGACTAGCTATAGAACAATCGCGTGTTACACGAATGGGGCGCACATCGGTTCAAAGGATCTATTTGCTCTTTACGAGGATACTACTTGTGCATCAGCTCTTTAGGATTACCCTGAATACTGATGAGGATAAACCCAAGGAACAGATATGACACTCTAGTAATGGCCATCATCATCGTCATCATCATCTTTATCGTCGTCATCATCGTCAGAATCATCATCAGAATCATCATCATCATGGTCGTCGTCGTCGTCGTCGTCGTCGTCGTCGTCATCACCACCGCTTCCTCCGGGAACCTTGCGAGTGACGAGTACTCTCTTTCCGAACTTACCAAGGCAGCCCTGGTTGCACCTGCGGCAAGCCCTGCTGGTGCACTTCATCACGACCCTGGTCTTTGCCACCCCGCCCTCATCGTCATCATCATCATCCTTGTCGTCGTCGTCGTCGTCACTGCTTCCAGTCCTGATGAGCATGCGATAGCTGTCATCATCGTCATCGTCGTCATCGTCGTCGTCGTCGTCATCGTCGTCACCACCACGCTTCTTGATCACGACAACCGTCCTCGTACCGAAGTTCGAGCGGCACTGGCCCAAACACCCGGTGCAGCGCTTGAAGATCGGCCCGCCGGACTCGCGCGAGCAGCGGAGAACAAACTTCCTCGGGCGATGGTCGTCGTCATCGTCGTCATCACCGCCGTGACGAACTGATGTAGACATGGAGTCCGTGGAAATAGCCGAAACATGGAGAAGAATCAAGCCGAAGACGAGGGCCGCAATGTACAGACGAGCCATGTTGAAAGAAATTTGTTCCAGAGAATTGCTTGTCAGGGGAGCTGGGAGATGATGGATGGGATCGTCGGGAAATCTGGTTCGCTGTTATATAGCCTGCGAAGCTCTAACTTGGTCAGGGATTGTAGCTGTTGCTCATATCGCAGCGCGATTTCGTTATTGAGGAATCTGCGGAGGAGGGGGAAGTTGCGTGCTGGGGGACGCTTGTTTGGGAAATTCTAGAACGGTGGTGGATCCATACGAGCTCGTGAGCATGCCAAGTTCCTATGGTGAAGGACGTTTAGGCCTGGGACGATTGAATTCTGAACAACCCTGCAGAACCCCCTGGAGGTAATTTACTCGCGGCATTCTCGGTGGCTGCTGTCCAGCAGCGAAGAGAACGTCCAGGTCATAGAGAAGGTTTGTATACTAGGTGGAAAGAACTCTACTGTAGGTGGAAAGAGTCCACAGAACAATTATTATTCTCACGAGAGATCAATTTGTAATGGCTATTGCCATGCCACACGGGGCATGAAGCTTAGACTCTGTAGAAATATGCAATAGGGGACAAGTCCTCAGCGTCATGGGACCTCGACCTTCAGTCATGGGCTTGTATTGAGACACTGGGGCTCTAGCAAAAGAGAGCCAGATCAAGTTTTGTGTCTACCCCCTGAAGTTATCTGTGCCAGCAACGCCGCGGTCTCGATTTCGTAGAGAGTGCCTACGTGCCTTAATAGATTCCAGTCTTGAGCCATGTCAGGATACCGTAGCAAGCGACAATTTAACTCTCCGAGATATGAACTCTGGCTTGTTGATTCAGTTGCGTTTATAAAAAGACGATGTTCTGGTCATACGTCGGCCTAAATCTTCGAGAAGCCAATAACAACGAATAATCCAGGTCTTTCACATTCACATTCTTCTTATGGTAGATAAGCCTGTTGCTGTCACTGCGTTAGTTTGTCACCCTTCAAAATATTTGAAACCTCAACCTTGACTCAACGCTTTAAAGCCCCTTCAAATCACAACAAATGACATCTTGGTCCTGATTCTTCTAGACCGAACTTCACAGGGTGACTCCAGCGAGGGTTTCTTAAGCATATACTTTCCATTGCAAGTTATTCTGTGTTACTGAACACACCTCCCTCGTTCTTTGAAGAAGATCCTCATATTTCGTAGCAGATCGCAGAATTTGCGGATGCACACATTGGACCTTCATCTCCTTTGCGTAAGCTCATCATTTTTGGACAATGTAGGTGCATATGGAGGCGTGGAATAGGCAACTGTTTTCTCTTCTGAAATCCTGCGCCGCGGAAAGGATACTCCTCATCCGCAAATGCGTAGTATGCGATGAAGTGGCAGGAGCGAGCGATTCCGTGCATCTACACTGATTGCCCCAGCAAAATCGCTCTCTACGCCCACTGTTTGCCACTTTTAAGAGTCGGTGCCCACTTCGATGACGCTATCGACAGCAGCCCCCACATGTACTTATTCGAAAGCCCCTTTGTGCTCAATTCAACTGTTTTCTCCATTTCCCGCTTCACTAATGTCTCCCAAGTCTCTTTTCAATTCCGTCAAACACTGGGTCAAACTGTTTCGTATCTTCATAATAACACTTAAAATTGAGTGCAACTCCATCTACCTACAATTTTAGAGCATGTATGCCGGTAAACCGACCGCTTTCATTTCCTTAACCTGTGAAAATTTACACAATGCAGTGGCCCATTGAAGTTGCATTTGATTGGTTCTGATTCCAAAAGCACTAGTAACATAGATTTAGAAGAACAGATCTAGTCGTTGGGTAAATTCTTGAGAAACCGTTCATTCCGATTCTACGATCATTTCGTTGTGCGTCCTGAATTAAATGGTCCGAATTACCTTGAACAATTACATGACGGCCCTTGGCAAGACATTATTTCGAATAAGAATAAAGTTGATAAGAATCAAGTCTTTCAAGGCTGCCGGTGTTGGGTGTAATGCTAGAAGACAGAATGAGTCCTCATTGCTCAACTTGTTTCCCCGTACACTGCCTTTTCAAAAACTAGTCAATATCTGGTGTGGCGTTATGCAAAAACTACTGCTGCTCAAAACCTGAAAATCAGTGTCTTGTTCTCAAGGCACTGCATTGTATTTGCGATTTAAATCTTCGATGCAGTTTCATCAAATAACAATTCAGAGGCTAACTGGCAGAGACTGATCGGTTTGGAATGGAAACGGAGGACCTTGTCCTTCTTGGAAGTATGTACGTGGGCCTCAAGGAGCCTTTCACTTCCAGTTGTGATTGTCTTGGGCAGTGCTGACCAGAATTTGACGAACTCTCCAACAAAATACTTCGCCGTCACAACCTGGCGATATTCACCCCCGAGTACAAGCATGCATTCGAGTTGAATATCGGCAGGCTGTGCAAGCAAGCAAGGGTGTCTCTACATGGGCAATACTGATTGTATCTGGTGTCCGAACCTCCTCTCTTACACAAAGAGGCTTTGATTTCCTCATCAGCTCTCCGTTGCTGATATGCTTTGCATGGCTACAGTGTAGCCATGCAGCACTGTCTATTGTGAAGTGTAGCCGCTAAAGGGGGGTGCTGCAATTGTCGGACAGTGACAAAAAGATCGGACATGCAAAATATTTTGAAAAATATCTCCGACACGGGCCAAGGTGCACCGCCGCGCGCAACGGCGCCAGACAGTGCGCCGTATCTCAGAACGACGTGGTTGAAATTAAAGAAAAAATATCTCAATCGATTGCTCACAGCTTGCTACGTATAAGAGTGTAACAACCCAAAAATACAAAACAGGATACTTTCTATTTTTTTTTAATTTGCTTCGATGTCCGATCTTTGTGCGCGGTTGGGGTGCAAAAGTGTCCGCGCGCTTCAGGGTGTGTCTTAACTTGCCCGGGTTTGCTTTGCTTGCCCGAGTTTGCCGGTCATTTATTAATTTATTAATGTAAGTACACGCCTTCCCCTTACGTTAGTAGTGGACAGGTGTCCCAGAGCGACGGTGCTGACTTACAGAGGCATACAGCGCCATAAATTGCCAGAACACAACGGGGAGGACACTGTGGGTTCTACAAATTCGCTCCGAGGACGCATCGACAGGGACGTGACATGCTGCAGCGTCAAACAACTTCGCCCGAGGGACGCGTCGACATGGACGCGAGACGCTGCAGCGTCGCTCGCTTCCGACCCAGAACGTGGCCATTGCGGGTGATCCCAGATCACCGGGATAAATCTCACCCCCTACTTCTCTCCTTACTACTCCGCGGGATAGCGGATCTATCGCCGGCGCTGTTTGGTCAAAAAACGGATCTACAACCACTGCCCAGTATCGCCGTTTGCCTCCCCTCCTTTCTTCTCAATCTAATCACTCCTACGCAATGCACGGCAATAGAATCATCACTGCTACGACCGCACTAACCGCAACCGCAGCTCTATTCTCCCTCCTTTCATTTCACCAAGCTATTTCAAACTATCCTCGACCCCGAAAATTCACAAAGCCCTTAGATCTCCGACGGGGATGGACCTTTGTCAGAGCCAACAGAATTTTTAACGACAAAGAATTCAGTCGTACATACCGTATGGAGGGGGGATAATATTTGGTCAGAAACGCCCGCTGCAGACGAGGAAGCAATAGTGAGAGACTTTGCGTTGGTGGCCCCCGTCTTCCGAATGGTGGGGAAAGAGAGATGCGCCAGAGGCGCGGAGAACGGCGCACGTGGCATTGAGGTGTGGAAGCCATTTTCAGGAAAGTAGTAGGCAGAGAGGTGCTTCGTAGAGTTGAGTTGCCTTTGCGAGATGGCAGGTGCATAGATTTTTGCAAAGGGGGAGTTGAGGATGTTTTCGGCAAGGGGCAAGCACTGCGTCCACCGGAGCACAGCGTCCAAATTCGAAAGTTACAAACTTACAAAAGTAGCCAATATATGATTGACATTTGTCATTACACACTGACATAACTTGAGCTTGCAGTGTAGGGTCGTACTTAGTTTCAAATCATATATTAACTCCCAGTAGCCAATAGTAGTGCAAATCATGGCTCCGGGCAAGCAAACCCGGGCAAACTCGGGCAAGTTATGACCCTCCCTCAATCTCACTCCTCGTCTTTGTCCGTGAACGAGGTGAGCAATAAACGTGATCGAGAGTGTGTCCCTCTCCGGTGTGAGGGGGCGAGCTGCCCCCGGTCACACAACTTTATGTCATCCAGTCCGAGACTGGTGGGCGCGATACCGCGCCGCCGTCGAGTGTAGATTACTAATTAATAGTTAAATCTACGACGGTGCGCATACAAAATTCTCCCTTTTAGTCCGACTACATTCGTCGCCCAATGCCAGCCGTCCAAGTATGGACGGCGGGGGGTCCGGAGCGTTCTTATTGGACGAAATGGATTTCGCCACCTCATGGCCAAAGGCCTCATGCTATGCCTATCTTGGCACCGTCCTTCGGAAGACATCTTCCGTTCAACTGAACCACATCACAAATTTTTTGATGTAAAACTACTTCCAAACCCTTGCACCATCTTCCTGTAGCTTTGTCGAACATAGATCAAAGACTTAACAACACCTTTGTTCATCGACCAATTTGTTTTGTATGCCCACTCACGCAGTACAACTTCTGCAGTTGAAAAAGCGACACGGTATTTCGCACACTTCCCACATAACACAGGGCACATTGCACACAAAACTTTTTCCTCGACGTGACCACAACGTAGCGAGTACTCCTTTAACAAGAACACCAATAAACCCCCAAAACCTTTGCAGGAAAAACGAAGAAGGTAAATCAAGCAGGACGGTATCACACACATCTGGTAGAAAATAAAAACAACGCAAAACAAAGAAACTGTTAGACGTAAAACGTAGTGGATATTGAAACATAACGATTAGTTTGAGTGTGTACCGTCCCTTAGAGTAGCGCTTTCAGTACCTTAAAACTTTTCAAGACGAATTAGGTCAACCATTTGACCTAATGTTTGAGGTGACATTATCTGTGTCAATAAATCTGCAGGTTGATTCTCAGAGCTCACATGAGTCAGCTGAACCACAGAATTCTCAATAAGTTCACAGACATGGTGAATCTTTAAGTCGATGTGCTTGTTCTTTGCAGAGACTTGAGAATTCGTAGCGAGAGATTGAGCTGCAGTACTGTCAAACATGACATTACTTGCGACAAACGCTTCCTTATCATTCCATTGCGATGCATGAGCGAATTCCCAGAACAGCTTTCGAAGCCATGATAATTCCTTAGTGCAAGAGGAGAAATCAATGTACTCGGCTTCAGCGGAGGACAAGGAGATGACTGTTTGACGTTTGCTTCTCCAATAAACTGGTGCTTCGTTGATGGCGATAATGAATCCAGTTGTTGACCTCCTTCTGTCTTTGCATCCTCCCCAATCGGCATCAACGCAAGCAACAATAGAGTCTGGGTTGAAGTTGATGTTGCGTCGGAAGTGTAGTCCATAGTCCAATGTACCAGATACGTATCGCAAGACGCGTTTCAAGTACGACATGTGTCGAAGGGTGGGGGCATGTAAGTGGCGGGCTAAGACAGGTATCGGGAATGAAAGGTCTGGACGGGTGCAAACTGCCAAGTAGTTGAGACCACCGATGATTCGGCGGTACTGAGAGTGCTCCTTTTGCGACAGCAAGTGTTCACCTGGATGTGCAGGGAGCAGGTCCGCATTCAAAGGCAGAGAAGTCCAGACCGAGTTGGCTTGATCAAGTCCGTGAGTCAGTAGGAGTGACTCAGCATAACGCGTCTGATGGACCTTGATGTGGTCGGGTTCTTTGGAGATCTGCCATCCAATAAAGGAAGAAAGTGTACCGAACAACTTAACGTTGAACTGAGCCGACAATCTTTCCTTGAACCATGACATCAAGTGCGTGCTATTGGAGGCAAAT